AATTTTATATGTATTTTTTTAAATTTTTTTATTTAAATTAATATCGAAAGATTASTGGGCCTCACTGAGAAAAACTCGTGTGGAGGACCCGTATAGTACCTACACTACCAAGCCTGTATATAAACATACGAACCTTCATAATATTCGATGATAATTGATACACAATATGACAAACGTATGTACGTACATATCTTCATTAGGCTTAATTTAATAAACAATGTTATCGACTGTTACGCTTCCCTTTATAATACGACACACAATACTGCAACACTGGTAATGCAGGCTAAAATATCGGCTAAATACATCAATACTAGTTTAAAAAATGTTTGGAAGAATAAAGACATTAACAATTTTTCGTGAATGAAAATGGACCCATCCCTATAACATTATTATACCGTACTAAACTATATTATGGTTAAGTAAATTGTAAATACTTCATGACTGTATATTAGGTATAATAATAAAATATAACAGAAAAAAATTAGAACGATAATATCTGATAACCAGGGCCTGATTAACCAATAGGCTAAATAGGCTACAGCCTAGGGCGCCAAATCGGTTAACGTTAAATTTGGGGTGCCACAAAATAATTTTGAGGTAAAAATCAACSCTAGCCTACAGGTGACCAACTCCTTAATCAGGCCCTGCTGATGCCACCTAGTTTCTACAATGCAATATTAAAAACACATTATTTTTGCTACATTTTTGTACTTAAAATGTGCAAAAACTCATTAAATAGTATAAGATAGTAAAATATCTTATTATGATTTTATTATTAATTATATAGGTATGTGTTGAATATTATACATTATTTTAATAAAAATGTATCTCATGTATTAGTTTTAACTTTAATGTTGTATTCAAAATTGACACGAATATTATACGAATTACACATTTTCTAACCACTAAATAGTTGTTGGACCCTGCCAACGGTACTGTCCTGTGATTATTTTCAAAATACCTACGAGAACCACACAATACATTTTATTTATAAATTMAATTAATAACGAATTATTTGACTAATAGGTATTATGGTTGCATGAGATATTACTTTTAACCTAACCTATCTTTCATATAATATGTGCATTGGTCCGATTAAGTTCAAGTCGATATTTATTAGGTACTTGAATCAATTTAATTACAAAAAAAAAAAAATGCTTAAAAATTATTACTTTTATAAATATTGCAATAATATACAATGATTGCACTTTCTCCAGTATCACCTACATGAATAAATTAATAAGAATTGTCAATTTTCGTTGTCTTACGCAGGAAATTTGCCTGGTCGTGTTCTTCGGCGTCGAGTATATGATACGATTATGGTCAGCCGGTTGCAGATCCAAATACATGGGAACTTTCGGCAGGTTCCGTTTCGTCCGGAAACCCATATGCATCATCGGTAAGTGAATATTTTATAATACCTATGTTTAATTCGTAAATATATATGATAATCAGATTAATATTTGTCATGTAACACTCAAAATAACTTTTCAAACATTATATTATGACAATATTATTTTTTAACAATTCAAACGAAATTGGATAGGTATATAATACCCTATAATATTAATATTAAGGTATAATATAGAAGTATTATTTTAATTTAAAATAAACTATTTTCGTAAATTATTTATTCAAGCACAATTCAAACTATGTGTACATAACTCTGAATTATGCGTTCGCATAATTTTACACAGCGGAACAGATATTATTGTATCATCAGGAATTTGTTAAATGAATATCGCCACTAATGTATATAACCACAAGMAAATACATTCCAATTACCCTTATAGATATTATTACGATTCCAAAAACATAATACACATAAAATACTATCAATATGATAAAAATAAAATGTATATTCATTTAAGCGTTAGATGCAGGTACTATAGCTCCACTGTACACTATCCAATAACAGCTCCTGTTTTGTTTAAGTTTGTTACAATCCACTTAATCAAATACCACCCTATTTGATTTTATAAAACCTAAGGATTTGCGTTCATGATAAAGCATTTCAYATGTAATTCATCATTTATACTTACACTTATATAGAAAATATATTTTTTGATTTTATTCTGTAATAATTTGAATTATTTTAAACTCAAAGTATTGTAATATAATTATTATGTATAATCCATTACCAATCTTTAATCTTGCTAATTAATGATTCCCGAATATTTAAATTTATCTAATTAAATTAGTACAACATTTCATTTATAGAATCCTATAAAACTTACTTTTGTAAAGTCRCAAATCTGTTATACAATTAAAATAACTTTTTGATAAAACTAATTTAATATATCAACCGTTTTTTAAATTTTTTTTTTTTGTTCCTTATAAAATKTATTTTTATTTTTTCCGATATTTGCAAAAATGTAAGGTTTTAATAAAATATGTAATGAGAAATTTATCAAACCAAATCTAAAAAGTGAAAAAGTCGATGATGTTGTTTAATAAGTGGTATTGCAACAGATAATACGAATCTATTTCCAAAATTAACTGACAAAAATGGCACATTTTAAGCCAAAAACAAAAATTGTTTRTGTTACATTAATTTATGTGGTTAAGTCATTCATGTTAATAATTAAAAATTATTTACCACGCACAGTTTTGGACGATGCGTATAACTCGTCCGTTAATCTTGRCCAATAATTAAAGATAGTCATTGATCTTAAATCTTGATTTTTGCCACCGGCTATTAGTACAAAATTTGTTACCGAAATATATTTAAAAATCAGTGTAGCCACTCGTAACAATCTGATGTTAAAACTAACCAATTTTTAGTTATTTTACGTTTAATTTTAATTTGTCATGATAAAMATTTTTTTAGTTGAATACAAAATGTTTAAATCGTATTATTTTATATTAGCATTTAACATTGTGTTGGTATTTAATTACAAATTACATTTCTACGTTTTTTCAAAA